TGAACAGTGAAGATGTAGTCGATAAAACCTCGACCAGGCCTAAAACCAGCCTGGTTCCCACGCGTGCACCGTTCGCGTGCGGCAGACAATCGACGGAGTATGATACCAGCGAGAATTTTAGAGGCAATGCAGATTAAACTAATTCCTCTGTAGTTTTCACAAGAGGATCTATCACCTTTTTTGTAAATCGGTATGATCACCGATTCGCACCATTCAACTGGAACCTGTTCCCTCTCCCACACTGAGCCACGGAGTTCCGTTAACTCCGAAACCAATGCTAAACCTCCATCCTTAAAAACGGATGGAGAGAGCCCGTCGGGGCCGGAAGCCTCATGCCGTTTGAGATAACTTATTTCTCGGGCAACCTCCATTTCAGATGGAGAACTGATGTCAACTGGCAGTATTTGCCCAGTCAAGGTGGAGGGTGAATGAACAGATGTCGATGGGGACCAGTTGAACTGAGCCTCGAAATGTTCAGCCCATCGATCAAGACGGCGTTGCTGATCGTGAATCAGTGGCATTGGATTCCTTAATTACCTCACTTACGCCGATTTTGCTATAGTCCGTATTCCTAATTAGACGGAAAAGATTGCTACTATAACCAATAGCCGCAGCTTTCTTCATCTCTCTACACTTTCCTATCCAGCACTTCTCTCGGTCATTCCTCAGACTCTTGATGAGGAATTTGCGCGCTGTCATATGCGGCATCCGGAGGAAGGGTTCTGCGGGCGTCCAGCAGGGCAACCGAGGTCGATGAGAGCCTGCGTGAGGTTTTTATTGATATTTGCACAGTTTCCTTGATTTGTTTCATTGAGTCCTTCGATTGGTGGCTGATCTGACAGGCGACTGGAGGGCTCCGCTTCGAAGGCCGATTTGCAGCAATCGCTGACGTTGTATCGTAGGTATCCATTTTTACCGGCTTTTCTACGGTTGTTTGCCAGGCGTAAGGAGAACTTGGCTTGTAGCAATGCGTGGTCCGTATCAACAGGTGCTGACCAGTAAGAGAGGCAGTCTTGAATCGATCCCCTTCAGCGGTAACTAATAACGATGTGGTCGATTTGGGTCTAACGCTGTGAAGAGGTTGGCGGTCTCCACATAAGACGGTGACGTTTCTTGTGCGAGAAGTTCCTGCTTGACAGGAACAGTTCGTGGTCGGCACAAAGTTGAAGTGGGTGATCTCCGTCGTCCGTCTGGTTGGCTGGGATTGCATGTGGTCCACCAAAAAAACCTCTCTGATTCGTCTAGGGGACCCACTCGGGCATTGAAGTCTCCGGCGATTACCACGATGTCCGTTGATCGAACACTTTGGAGTAATTGAGAAAGGCTTTTGTAGAATTCATCCTTGATTTCAGGTGTACTGCAATCCGTCGGTGCATACACCGACACGACGAACAGACATCGATGCTTCGTTCTGTAGCTGTTGACCCGCGCTGAACCGTTGAGACTTACAGCGTACAGTCGGCAGAGACTGGAATCCAGTCGAGAGGCGAGCGTTCAGCCTTAGCACTTGGCGCAATCCCGACATCAGCAACACTGCGAGCTTTGGACGCCGAATCACCTGACACAAGAAGGACGAAGCCTTACTGGCTGGGGGCTGCCCAGCTTGGGCGGGCGGTAACTGTCCAATGAAGTGCGAAGACTTATCCCACCGTCGAGAGGAAGCCCCGCTTCTAAGTCCATCTTGCGGGGTTTTTTATCGGTAAACTGCCCCTCAGGGGCGGGTGTGGATAGAAAAGGAAGCCAGGAGGTACCCAAGCAGCTGGCCTTTTGAGACTGATCTTCGTCTGGCCTCTATACCCTGACCTTTCAGGCATGATGGGATCTGCGGCTGTCAGGAGCCATCCTGTATAGCTCGCAGGGTCATTGAGGCGCGCAAGCCATCACACCACGCCAAGGTTCAGTCTCGTCGTGATGGTGGAGCATCTGAGGAAAGATGCCACCTGAAAACCAACGAAAAGTTCAAGGCAGTCAATGAGGCAACTTCGACTTGGTTTACTGCTGAGGGAAAAGCACGGAGAGTTCCCAATGATGGAGAGCATCGTATGTAAGAAGACAATCCAGCTAGCATAATGATTGCATCATAATGACTTGAAGGCCTTCAAAGGTTGGTTTCTCTCTTGGTCAGACAGATATGGCATTCAATCGTACAAAGTAAGAAACAAGCAACTCATGTGCATTAATTCACAGGGGAAAAGTCTAGCGGTACCACGTGATGCAGTGGATGAGTTTCGAGCGGGGTTACCGCAGTTGATATAAGGATATACTTACTGTGACATTTTCAATGTAGATGAAACAGCTTTGTATTACAGGCAGCTCCCAG